CAGATCTTCTGTGGATGAGGGCTGCCCCAAATCCTTTTGTTTCTTCTGTGACTCCTTGTTCTTCTTTATGCAGAAGATAATTTTTAATGATATTGGCTGTATGTTTGGGGTTGTCCTCCTGCAGAAAAAAATCTGGGGCCAATCACATGTCTACCTGATGATATGGCGTGATGGATAAGTATCTGTCTGTATTTCTCAGCATTGATGAAACCATTGATTCTGAACAAATCTCCAACTCCATTTGCAGAAATGCAACTCCAAACTTGCAAGGAACCTCCACCATGCTTCACTGTTGCCTGCAGACACTCATTATTGTACCGCTCTCCAGCCAAACTGTCTCCTGCTACAGCCAAATATTTGATATTTTGACTCATCAGTCCAGAGCACCTGCTGCCATTGTTCTTCACCCCAGTTCCTATGTTTTCATGCATCATTGAGTCACTTGTTTCCACGTCAGAGATATAGCTTTTTGACCACAATTCTTTGTGAAGACCACTTCTGGCCAGACTTCTCTGGACAGTAGATGGGTGTACCTTGGTCCCACTTGTTTCTACCAGGTCTGTGCTGATAGCACTTCTGGACAACTTCCAGTGTCAAAGGGAAGTAGGCATGATGTGTCATTCATCTGCTGCATTTAGTTTCCTTGGCTGATCACTGCATCTGCATTCCCCAAGTTGCCTGTTTTTTTACGCTTTTTCTGTTTCAGTTAATGACTGTGCTTCAACCTACATATGAAATTGATGATCATTAGAACCTGCTTGGTATAATTGGTTAATCATACACATGACTCTAATTCTACAAAATCCCTGACTTTATGCAAGTGTACACAATGTGGAAATGTAAGAGGGTAGCCACACCAAAGGGTAGTCACACCAAATATTATTTTGTGCAAGTGTACACAGTTTGGAAGTCAGGCCCGCACTGGCCATAGGGCATACCAGGTAGTTTCCTGTGGTCCTGGGCTGCTGGACCCAACCTCCGGGCCACAGACCGGTCCATAGCCTGTTGATTACAGGACTGCACAATGGAAGGTAAGTGGCAGCCGTGGTTCAGACAGGGTTAACCCAGACCGCAGTTGCCGCTCACCTCCCGCTATGCGGCCATGCCTGTGTTTCCTCTCCCTGTTGTCCTGCCCTGCTGTGGTAGGAGCTGGAGATCTGCACAGAGAGCTAGAGTCATCAGAAGTGATCCCCCCAAGTCAATCCAGCCCCGATCCCCCCAGGACAGTGCACATCTGGCCACTCTGCTGAATGGATGGCCACACCACACCCAACCTGGCTGCGAAGTGACTACACATGACCGACAGAGAGCCATAACCACTTTATAGAGGTACAGAGAGAGCTCTGGGGCCCCTGAAAGTGTGTGAGAGAGGTCTACTATACAGAGAAAGAAGGGGAGATACAAGGAGAAAGAGGGAAGGAGAGAGAAATAGCTCTGTATACAGATATCTACTGTACAAAGACATCCCATATACAGAAAGAGATTGGGAGAGATCTACTATTTTAGAGAAATTCAAATCACAGAGAGATCCCATGTACAGAGAGGGGTCCCATAGACAGAGATTTTCTATTCATAAATACAGAGTTCCGATACATGATGAGATTCTCTATACAGAGAAATCTACTATACATAGAGAAAGGAGCATCAGATACATGGGTATATCAGCTATACAGAGCAATCCTGTATACAAGCAGAGTGAAAAACTACTATACAGAGAAAAGAGAGAAAGGTCCCATACATAAAGAGATCTGATATATAGAAAGGAATCCCATATAAAAGAGAGAGTGATCTACTTAGATAGATCTGATATACAAAGTGCTTGAGAGAGGGGGGGTGCTATACGGCCATGCCTGTGTCTCCTCTGCCATCCCCCCCGCTTCACCAACGATGTCATCCTATCAGCAAAGCAGGGGGCGAGAGGAGCTGGAGATCTTTTCAGATTGGGTAATCACCTGCTTTTCAATATGATCCATATCTACAGCTCCTCTCGTCCCCGGCACTGCTGATAGGAGGACATTGTTGGTGGAACCGTTGGATGGAAGAGGAGACACAGGCTAAGTCCTGCCTCTGCCCCGCCGAAGGTATGACAGTGCAGGGGAGGCAGAAAGTAAAAGGGGGCACTGTCATTAGAGAGAAAAAAGTGGGGCGGGACTGCAAGGGGTACCGTGATGGGGGGCTGTGATTGCTAGGGGCAATGTGGTGGGGGGCTGTGGTTGATAGGGGCACTGTAATGTAAAGGGGCACTGTGATATAAAGGGAACTGCACTGTAATCATTACAGTGCCCCTTATTACAGTGCGGAGGACCAACCATAAATATCTCATCACCAACCCCCCTGCAACCCCCCCCCCAATTGCTGGACAAGTTGGCTGCTCAGTCTAAAATGCCCAGGCTTATTTTTTGCCCCAGTCCAGGCCTGTATACAGTATATGTGTGTGTAAGAAGAAGGGAGCAAAGGGGGTGGGGTAGCAGTTGGATTTTGACCAGTTGAACATTTACAGAAGAAGACTGTATGGATGTAGCAATGGCTACTCTGGCTGCTGTTGGGAAATCTGGCAAAATTCTTGGTTATGAGCAATTGCACTTTTCCATGTGGGACTGTTAATTCTAGTTGCAGTGCGTAGTGGTATTTTAAAAATATCCTGCATGCATCATTTGCAAAGAATGTTCTATGCTTCCATTGTAGTCTATGGAAAGTCACAAAATGCTTATAAAATGCTCGTAAAACACAAGGAAACACTCATAAAATGCACAGACATGATTGTTACAAGCACGTACAGGAGTATTCAACACTCCAAAAAAAACACAATATGCTTTGAAATCTTTAGAAAAAAGTTCATGAAATGCTTCTAAATCACCAGAAAATGTTTTAAAGGCTTATAAATGTATAAATAATGGTATAAGACTGTCGTTTGTAAAGGATTCTGTTGTAAACAGGCTCCAGAAATACAATCTGTCACCCACAAAGAAAACTTGGACAAGAAGCTACTCACTAATAAGACAAAGTAAATATATATATTTAGTAAATAGTAAATATTTCTATCAGGAGTTTGATTTATGCTCATCATAAAGATAGGGAGGAGGAGTCCTAAAATGTTCAGTCCCTTGCGCCTTTTTGCAACACTTATTACCTTTCAACTGTTTTTTCTTTTCTAGAATGAGAGATAGAGAAGCAAAGCATAGAAGAAAAATAAGCCATTTGGGAGGTTGTGCAAGAGGTTTGTGCTCTACGAAGCTGGCTTGTCATTACATGACACACTCATATTAAGCAGTATTAAACCCAAATTAAACATGTATTATCTTGCAGCTTACCAATACTTAGATACGAAGGCTGCATTCATTTTCTTTTTTAAGCTTTTTCCCTTTATTTTCACCTATTGATCTTGCCAGTAGGTCTGTTATTTTGCAACTTCCTTGGGAGACCCAGCTGCCCAGTAAAAGTGGCAGTTAAAGGGTTGAGAAAAAATATTTACCACTGACAGGTGTGTTTACAATGGTCAGCTTTTATTCTTCTCTGTAAAAACTTTACACCAAAAGGAAAAAAACGTTGCTGAAATTGCTGATAAATTGTTCGTTGGGGTTCAGTTAGTCAAGTCCATCTATATCTGCCAGTGCATCTAACACTACCTCCCCCCAGACTGCTGCTCTCTCCAAAAAAAAAGTGTCTCCATTGCTCCTTTTTCCAAAGTGGAGCAACCCTAGGACAGGAAGTGTGTTACCGGCCAGATCCCCAGGTGCAAATAAGGGAAAAAAATGAAAAAAAGAAAAGTAATGCAGCCACAATATTTAAGTACTTACCCATGGTTCTTAAAAAAGGGGCACCCCTAAAACATTGGGTTCTTCCTCCTCCTCCTCCTCTCTCTTTTCACCAGGGTCAGCTTTCATTCTCATCATTTGATTCTGGGTACCAAATTCCTCCTTGATGAAGGGAGAGTGTTTTTTGGCACCTAAAACTCCTTGGATTCTTTTTTAGTGCAACCCAATTGGTCATTGCAGACAGCCTAACTTGAGCCAGTGAGCTCTCTGATTTTTTTTTTTCATCTCACTACCTTATATGAACAGATATTATATTCCCAGAATCTCTGGGTTGCTTTCTACTTTGTTAGTGTCCATGACAATGCTCATTTACTAAAGGCAAATAGACTGTGCACTTTGAAAGTGCCATTGCATTCATTTTACCCAGAGCTTAGTAAATGTGGTGAAGGTTCACTTTGTAAAGACACTCAATCAGGTGCAAGGAAACTTAAAAAAAAAAAACAACTAAATTTTTGCTTGCACAAGATTAGATGATGGAAATCAGCAGAGCTTCACTACATTCACTAAGCTCTGTGGAAAATGAGTGCAATTGCACTTGCAGCATGCACAGTTTTTGCCTTTAGTAAATCAACTCCAGAGACTCGCATTGTGAGCAACAGCAGCAGTAAGACAAGCATTAGGGTGTAGTTACATTTGCATATGACTCCAGAGGTCCTACTAAAGTCTAATAGCTACAGTCATCCAATATGTGCTCAGTTACACAACTTTCAGCCGTGAACTCAAGATACTTACTTTTACTTTATGTATATAAAACATTTTTAAACAATTTTGTTGATGAAGGAGTCTACACCTAAAATTCACACAAAAGATGTTAGGCAATACACATGACTAGAGATGAGCGAACTATTCAAAAATTCGATTCGGCTGATTCGGCGAATTCGAGGAATAAATTCGATTCGAGTCGAATATATTCGCTGCGAATTTAACATATAAAAAGGGTGTTTCTAGGCTTCAGAGAGCCTTTATATTAGTGCAGAACACTGTACCTTTAATTTAAATGCCCTTGGAGTCTGCTGGGGAAGAGAAATAATACTGTCAGTCAGTATGACATGCAGATGAGTGCCGTCGATCTTAGAATCACCGCACACTTCACTCATTTGGGCAGTCACGGGGCCAAAACCAGAGTGTGGAGCCACAGTGTGGCGGTGGAGGCAGCAGCAATGGGAGGCCATACAGCACCCTATGAAAAAATGGAACCCACCAGCAGTGTGAGGAGACCTGAAAGTGGCACATGGCAGAGTGTGGTGATGGAGACAGCAGCAATGGGAGGCCGTACAGGGACCCATGACACACTCTGGCAGCAGCATGAGGACCTGGCAGCAGCATGAGGAGGCGGTACAGGGGCCCATGACAGATTACGGGCCTGGCAGCAGCATGAGGAGTCGGTACGGGGGCCCATGGCAGATTACGGGCCTGGCAGCAGCAATGGGAGGCCCGTAATCTGCCAGCACCCTATGACAAAATGGAACCCACCAGCAGTGTGAGGAGACCTGAAAGTGGCACATGGCAGAGTGTGACGATGGAGACAGCAGCAATGGGAGGCCGTACAGGGACCCATGACACACTCTGGACCTGGCAGCAGCATGAGGAGGCGGTACAGGGGCCCATGACAGATTACGGGCCTGGCAGCAGCATGAGGAGTCGGTACGGGGGCCCATGGCAGATTACGGGCCTGGCAGCAGCAATGGAAGGCCCGTAATCTGCCAGCACCCTATGACAAAATGGAACCCACCAGCAGTGTGAGGAGACCTGAAAGTGGCACATGGCAGAGTGTGGTGATGGAGACAGCAGCAATGGGAGGCCGTACAGGGAACCCATGACCACACTCTGGACTGGCAGCAGCATGGGAGGAGGCGGTACAGGGGCCCATGACAGATTACAGGGGCCTGGCGGGCCTGGCAGCATGAGGAGTCGGTACGGGGGCCCATGGCAGATTACGGGCCTGGCAGCAGCAATGGGAGGCCCGTAATCTGCCAGCACCCTATGACAAAATGGAACCACCAGCAGTGTGAGGAGACCTGAAAGTGGCACATGGCAGAGTGTGGCGATGGAGACAGCAGCAATGGGAGGCCGTACAGGGACCCATGACACACTCTGGAGCCTGGCAGCAGCATGAGGAGGCATGGTACGGTACGGGGGCCCATGGCAGATTACGGGCCTGGCAGCAGCAATGAGGAGTCGGTACGGGGGCCCATGGCAGATTACGGGCCTGGCAGCAGCAATGGGAGGCCGTACAGGGACCCATGACACACTCTGGACCTGGCAGCAGCAAGGGGAGGCGCGGTACAGGGGCCCATGGCAGAGTGGCGAAGCGTAAGCAGCTTAAATTGAAGGCCATACAGAGGCCTATGTTAAAAAATAATAACATGTTTGGGGCATGATTTCATGGCGGATTTAGTCAGTTGTGTCAGGATTTAAACTGGTGGTTTGAAATCCAGACTAATCCACGCCTGATTCATTTTCACAAACGTGAGTCTCTCCACACTTTGGGTGGACAGTCGTGTCCTCCGCGGAGTTACAATACCTACTGCCGCACTAAACACGCGCTCCGATGCCACGCTACTGGCCGGGCATGACAGCCTTTCAAGGGCAAATTCAGCTAGTTGGGGCCAAAGGTCAAGTTTCGTTGCCCAGTAGTCAAGGGGATTGTCTACCTCGGTTGGCAGGGTTCTGTCCAAGTAGGCCCAAGCTGTTGTTTGAGGTCCTGCTCCAGGTCCACCTGATGCTGCTGCTGCTGCGGCTGGTTAGTAGTTTCCTCACTGCGCTGGTGAAGAAAGCTACTCATCATCGACTGCAGACTGAGGCAGCCGCTGCTGGTGGAGCTGCCACTGCTCCTACCACCCCACCCCTCCCCTGCTGCCATGGCAGCGGAACGCGAGCGCACAGGGCCCACAGTGTCTGAGGATGGACGTTGGCGCAGAAAGGCAGAGACCAACTGACTACATAGGTGGTTTTTATAGTACGTTATTTTGGCCTCCCTCTCAGCAGGTGTGAAAAAGGCCACCATTTTTGAACGGTAGCGAGGGTCCAACAAGGTGGACAGCCAAAAGTCATCCCTCTGTCTGATGGTTATTATTCGGCTGTCGCTACGCAAGCAACCGAGCATGCTATGGGCCATTTGTGCCAAGGAATGCGAGGGACTCCCTGCCTCCATCTCCACAGCATACTGCCACGGTGCGTCTGGGTCCTCTGTCTCCTCCTCCTCCTCTAACAGATGCTCCTGCTCCTCCACTCCTGTCCGCTGAGTGGAAAAACCACCCATTTCACTCAATAATTCCTGAGCACCAATGTCCTCCTCTACCTCCTCCTCTTCTTCCTGTCCTGCCCCCACAGGGGTCATGTGGCGTTGAGATCTGTGCGCCACGTCTACCGCACCCTGACCAGCCATTGTTAACAGCATTTGTTCCAGGACGTGCAACAGAGGAATGACGTCGTTCATGCCATAGTCCTGCCGACTCACGAATAACGTGGCCTCTCAAAGGGCCTGAGCAAGCGGCAGGTGTCACGCATGAGCTGCCAATGGCTGACATCTAAGTTACACAGGGGAGTACCTTTATCCGCTTGTAACATCAGGAAAATCGGTGATGGCCTACATATGTAGGGTTGAATTCCACCTTGTTGCAACGTCGCAGATCAGGCGATGCTGTGGAATTCCGTTCTGCCGCTGCAGCTCAGGAGGGTGTGCTTTGCAGTGTAGGAATGGCTGAAATGCATGCAAAGTTTACGTGACATTTTAACGATGTCTTGCAGTGGGATGGTGGATTTTAGGAACCGCTTGACAACCAGATTGAACACGTGAGCCATGCATGGCGCATGGCACAACCTTCCTTGACGCAGAGCAGACACCATGTTCTTTCCGTTGTCGGTCAACATGGTTCCGATTTTCAGTTTGCGCGGAGACAGCCATCTGTCGATTTCTCTGTTCATTACACTGAGAAGTTCCTCCCCTGTGTGACTACGTTCGCCAAGGCATACCAGGTGCAGCACAGCGTGAAACCGTTGCGCCCTGCACATGTGATATGCCGGTCGGGTAATGGGACTTGGCACAGGGGGTGGCGGCTGAGGACACGGCGGAAGAAGAGGTGGTAGAGGCGGACATCTTTGCTGGACCAAGGACGTGCAAACGTGGAGGCAAAAGCGGCGTGACCTGTCCAAGTTGCTGGTGCGACTGTGCCGGCACCACGTTCACCCAGTGGGCCGTAAATGACATGTACTGTCCCCTGACCGTAGTTACAGCTCCACACGTCGGCGCTGCCGTGCACTTTGGCAGAGACCGATATGCTCAAAAGACTGGCCCACCATCTCTTCTACATGTGAATGCAGGGCTGGCACTGCCTTTTTGGCGAAGAAATGCCGGCTTGGCACTCTCCACCGCGGGCGCGGCACAAGCCATCATTTCTCGGAAAGGTGCTGAGTCCACCACTTGGAAAGGGAGGGACTGCAGCACCAGCAACTTGGACAGGAGGACGTTCAGCTTCTGCACCGTCGGGTGCGTGCTCGCAAACTGTTGTCTCTTGGAAACGGATTCCAAGAAAGACTGCTGACGGAATCCATGAAGAGAGTAGCAGGAGAAGGAGCATCTGAACGAGCGGAAGATGCCAACGAGCGACAACTCCCCTCAGCAGAGGTGTTGGAGCCTTGACTGGCTGATAGAGGGCGATTGACGTCGGGTGACGGAGCAAGTAACGGAGCGGGTGATGGAGCGGGGGCTGGGGCAGGCAGAACCGCCGTATCTTTATCACGGTTTTCCCAGGCCACCGAATGGCGATGCTGCATATGCTGACGCAACGTTGTAGTCCCAACATGGGCCCCCTGGCCACGCTTGACTTTCTGGCCACATAGTCGACATACGGCTACGTTTACTTCCTCGGGCGGCTTGACGAAAAATTGCCACACCGCCGAGTAGGAAACTTTGCCCCCGCTACTCCTCACTGGCTGACTGCTACTTCCTCCTTGCACACCGGCATCACTACTGGCCGTGGTGGTAGGCTGCAGTGGAGCTGATGCTCTACTCCGTGGCCGTTTGCCTCCACTGACACTGCTGCGACCCTGCTGCCTCCTGGGCAACCCACCGACTGTTTTGCTCACTGCCAAGCTGGCACCCTCTTCTCCTGATGATGCGGAAGCAATAGCCTGATGACGACGAGGCTGCCAAGTGCGATCAGCCTCATCATCATCAATTAGGGTCTCCGCCTCACTACTAGCCCCCTCGGCTGCATGTGGGTCAGGAGACAGACCTGTCTCTAGACCGGCTACCGAGCCACTCTCCTCGCCAGTACTTCTGCGCCTGGCTGCTGAAGAGGCGGATGTCTCCCCCCGTTCCTGACCGCCCTCTGTTAGCTCTTCCTCACTGTACAGTGGGGCTGAGCCCACAGCATGCGATACTTCGCTTGGTAAGGGAACACCAAAGGACAGGGGCAGGTAGAGGACACGTGATTTCAGTGGGCTTGCTCCCGGGCCATGCCAACTAACGGTTGTGTCTGACGTACCCACCGACCGTTGGCTGTAGGTGTCAGAGGTGACCTGGGAAGAGGAAGACGACCGTGTCAGAGGTGACCTGGGAAGAGGAAGACGACTGAGCCAACCAATCGATGACGGCAGGGTTGTCGGTGGAGACACGACCGCTGGATGACACCGGGAGCACTGGCCTCTGGCTGCGACTAGTGCTGCCTCAACCCCTTCCTCTGCTGCCACGTCTGCTAGCTCCTGAAACATTGCCTCCTCTGCCACTCCTCTGCGTGTTGTCTGACATACTCTTTAATTCAACGATTCTGTGTCCCTGAGTAACGATTCTGTGTCCCTGAGTAACAATTCTGTGTCCCTGAGTAACAATTCTGTGTCCCTCAGTAACGATTCTGTGTCCCTCAGTAACGATTCTGTGTCCCTGAGTAACAATTCTGTGTCCCTGAGTAACAATTCTGTGTCCCTGAGTAACAATTCTGTGTCCCTCAGTAACGATTTTGTGTCCCTCAGTAACGATTCTGTGTCCCTCAGTAACGATTCTGTGTCCCTCAGTAACAATTCTGTGTCCCTGAGTAACAATTCTGTGTCCCTGAGTAACAATTCTGTGTCTGTCCCTGAGTAACAATTCTGTGTCCCTGAGTAACAATTCTGTGTCCCTGAGTAACGATTCTGTGTCCCTCAGTAACGATTCTGTGTCCCTCAGTAACAATTCTGTGTCCCTGAGTAACGATTCTGTGTCCCTGAGTAACGATTCTGTGTCCCTCATTAACAATTCTGTGTCCCTGAGTAACAATTCTGTGTCCCTGAGTAATGATTCTGTGTCCCTGAGTAACGATTCTGTGTCCCTGAGTAACGATTCTGTGTCCCTGAGTAACAATTCTGTGTCCCTGAGTAACGATTCTGTGTCCCTCAGTAACAATTCTGTGTCCCTGAGTAACAATTCTGTGTCCCTGAGTAACAATTCTGTGTCCCTGAATAACGATTCTGTGTCCCTCAGTAACAATTCTGTGTCCCTGAGTAACAATTCTGTGTCTGTCCCTGGGTAACAATTCTGTGTCCCTGAGTAACAATTCTGTGTCCCTCAGTAACGATTCTGTGTCCCTCAGTAACAATTCTGTGTCCCT